CTTGTAAGTACCAAAAAGTCTAAATAATTAATTGGTGTTAATTAATTATTTTTAAGAAAATACACATTTTTTAAAGAGGAATCTAAAATCCTACCTGCTCATATTTCAATTTATATAATTCATCTTTATTATTTTTTGCCCAATTAAGGTATCCATCAACAGAAGGATTAGAAGCAATAGCAACATAAGGATATACCAACTCCATTGACATTGCATGTCAATATATATTGCATACTGAATCCCAAGCTTTGTGGTAGTCAGAACATTTTTTATAATATCCTAATTGTTTCTCATTATGATACCCTTGACATAATGCAAAGCACTTTAAGTCAATATTCCTATAATCAAAGCATACAATAAAGCATGAGAATAAATGCTAATACAACAATTTTAAAAACCATACCAATTTAATTCCACAAAAGATTTTAACATATTCATTTCTTCGTGAAGTGGACCAGGTATCAAAAGAATTCCAGGAAAATCTTTTTTGAATTTTTGAGCATAATTATAAGGAACTCCATCACAAGTTACAGCAATCCATTTTCGCTCTCCTTTGTTGATTCCACTAATTTTTTGAATATGATCTAGCACCATACGAACATTATCAATAGAATTAGGATTAATTGGTAAAGGATCAAGTATTAGTATGCCAGGTAACTTAACACCTTCCTGTGGTGATGATTTTTGAGTAATGCTAATTGGGTTTAAGTTCTTGTCAGAATTTCCTGTTTCAACATCATAAAATTTTATTGTTAAAGGTTTGTTGTCATTTTTTTCAAATGTTGTTTGTGATATTTCATGTTGGATTTCAGCAATTGTTGGTAATTTTGCTTTACAACCAGGACATTTTTGTTTTAAATTTTCTATTGCACTTTTACCACAATTATTACATTTTTTTTGTCTACCTGTTATTCCATTATACTCAGCTACTAACGAATCAATAAGATTTGTGTCCCTCCTTTTCTCTGCACAAGCTTCGTCTAAAATAACAGAAAGATAATCACAAAGTTCTTCATCAAGCAAATTTAGCATTACTGGTGTTAAATCAAAAAGTTCTTGAATTTGAATTGAATTTAGTGTTTTATGTAACCAAGGATCTTTGAGAACCTGTGTTTTGTCTGTAGAATCAAAATTAAATGCAACAAAACTTGTTACAGTATTGAAAATTACAGTATTATTACCACGATCTAGATAGTTTTTTTGACCTTTTTGTTCATTATCAAAAGCCATAAATAACAAACCCTCAGGAAGTGGTTCAGGTTTACCAGCTAAATTCTCCTGCCATTTAAGAAATTTGTAAAAACTACCAGAATTTAAAATATGATTATCAATATTCATAATTGTTTTAGATTTGGATAAAGAGTATTTGATTGCTGACATTGCTAAGTTGATAGCAGATACATATTTTGTATGTCTTGCCCCATAAATAATATCAACTGCTACAGCAACTTTAAAAAGCTTCCCGTTAATTTGATTTTCATTTTCATTGTATGTAAGCATTTGTATAAATTTCACAACAACTGGATTTCTTTTGGAAAGCCATTCAGATGTAGAATATGTTAATAGGCTATCTAAACTAAACCTTTCCTGATTATTGATTAAACTAATGATATCATCATATAAATTGCTTCGTTCACGCTTAGCAATTTCAATAATTAATTCTACTCTTGATTGTTGATCAATGAGTGGTGCATTTATTTTTTCATTTAATTTGCTATTTTCATTTAATAATTTTGTATTTTGTATTTCTAAATCTTTTATTCTTTGTTCATTTTCTTTTATGATATTAACATAATATATACATTGTTTTTCAGAATTTGTTAATAGTTTTTTTGTATATGCTAATTCTGCCATAAGGTTAGCATGGTCTTCGTCTTGTACTTGGACTTGATCTTTCAATGTTTCAATAGTCAACTTAAATTTTTTTTGTTCATTTTCTTCCTCTTGTACATCTTCCATAAAAGATGGGAAGTTTGAATTATCTATCTTTTTTAAATGCTCAATAAAATAATCATTAGCAATAAGTTGATTATAATGTTTTTCACATAAAGAATAATTTTTTAAAGAATTAAGTAATAATAATAATTCAGGCATGTACTTAGCCAAAAGTTTTATTTTTTCAGTTGATTTCTCTCCTGATGCATGACGCCATTGCTGACTCTCTTTAGTTTCACATTGAGTTAGTTGGTTGTCTTGATATTTCTCGGCAATGTTTTCAAAAAGACATGGTAAATCTTTTGCTCTCGGTCTTGTATTTGCCATTAATATATCAAAATAATTGTAATTTCAGGTTTTATTTATGAAAAAACTGCTTTATAAAGGTT